GACTGTGCCTGTCTTAGGTTGTTCCTCCCTTGAGGAATCTTACCCGTCTCTGGCTAACCAGTCATCTTCCGGGGCCATACAGGGAAATGTAAAGTTGGTAAGTGAGAGAGAAGCCATATTGTTTGAAAAGGTTAGCTTTTTACTTCTTTGCAGATTTATGCCCTGTGGCTTCTATGCCCAGCACTTGTCTCGAGGTATCTTTACCACCTGGAGGAATTATGATACTCGGTAAATTCGATATGAGGCACGAATTCTATTTAAGGGTTGTAATTAGGAAGGAAGAAGAAAAGCTATAGATGTAGCATATGGAAGGAAACATGGGAGGATTGATTATTTCTTTGACATATCTTCTTGTAGAGTACCTTAAGTATGTATAGGTTTTAAACTACTAACTAATTTGCACACACATATTAACATAATAGGAATACGGTGACATAAACAAAGCAAATCTATAATTACCATCCATCTCCAGTGAAGCCAAGAAAACCATTTAGGCACCCTAGGCATTTGTGAAAATTTATCTATGATATGATGGATATTGTCCAACTGTACTTGAACAGTCTGAGAAAAATCAGACAAATTAAAGCAGCCCATTTCTGGGATCTGTTCACATCCCATATGTTCTTTTAACCGTAGATAGTCTATAGTCATGAGATTTTGGAGTGCTACAACTTGCACCCCTCCCAACTCCTGGTTGAGTACTATGGAATGAATTTTTAAGGGAAAGTATGTATCAGTCATAATTATATCTTTGCCAGGGGCAAAAGACATAAGCCAAACCAATGTTTGGTGTCTAATCCGAAATTCTTATGGTCTTATATTTGTTTAGTGGCATTGCCAAAGCATGGAATCAGGCATATTTTGGGGAAGGATCTGGTCCAGTGATGCTGGATGAAGTACGTTGCACTGGGAATGAGCTTTCTATTGAGCAATGTTCAAAGCGTTCCTGGGGAGAGCATAACTGTGACCACAAGGAAGATGCTGGAGTGTCCTGTACCCCTCTAACAGGTAAGAATCTCACCATATTAATCCTCCAACTTTTGCCCCCAGCGCCATTTGGACTTACCTTCCCTTCTCCTCAATTTAGATAATATTAGTAAATGAGCACACAAATCCCCCAAATAAAACTAAAAAAAAAGTAACAACAAATTCTGTATTAAAATGCTACCTCCTTTATGATTAGCACACATAATGTGGTGGCGGGGGCACGGGGAAGGCAGTATTACAGAGAATACAAGTAATGATTATATAGCACCTTATAACGCTGATGGGCAGTGACTGTACTGGGATATGTGCTGGGGACATGATGATGGGGGGAGTCTAGTAACCATAATGTTGCTCATGTAATTGTACATTAATGATCCCCCCCCAAAAATGCTACCTCCTCAGTCACATATATTTCTGAGTTTTTCAATTTAAGACTATACAGTCCTGTAAAGGTAGATAAAAAATATACTTTTGTTGCAATATATAGTACCCAATAATAAAAATCAGTGTGCAGTAAAAACTTTCAAGTACTAGGTATTATATATAATTATATGTTAGTTCATTAATGCGTTAGTCTGTCTTGACTTTCAGGATGTGCTTGTAGCTGATAAAACTGTATTGATGGGCTTGTTGGTTAAAGCAAGAAGCAAGTTAACTTTGCTGTCCTCGATTTTTAGACCATTCCAAATCACAGCATGCTTGTCGAGATGTGTCAAGTGTATTAATAACAAGGGTATGTCTGAGTACAATGAGTGTGTGTGTATGTACTTACCTGTTTGGGGGGAAGTAGAGGGAAATGGGCAGGCAAGAGAAGTTGGAACAGCACATCCATTGTTTCTATACTAAAAAGAACTTGAAAGAATTTTGGGGTTTTAATCTTTCTCATTTATTTATTTATTTATTTATTTATTTACTTATCTACCTATTTATTTATTTTATTTTGGTATCATTAATCTACACTTACATGAGGAACATTATGTTTGCTAGACTCCCCCCATCGCCAAGTCACCCCCACATACCCCATTACAGTCACTGTCCATCAGCGTAGTAAGATGCTGTAGAATCACTACTTGTCTTCTCTATGTTGCACAGCCCTCCCTGTGCCCCACCCACACATTATACATGCTAATTGTAATGCTCCCTTTCTTTTCTACCCCCCCTTATCCCTTCCTTCTCACCCATCCTCCCCAGTCCCTTTCCCTTTGGTAACTGTTAGTCCATTCTTGGGTTCTGTGAGTCTGCTGCTGTTTTGTTTCTTCAGTTTTTCTTTGTTCCTATACTCCATAGATAAGTGATACTTATCATTTGATACTTGTCTTTCTCCACCTGGCTTATTTCACTGAGCATAATACCCTCTAGCTCCATGTTGAAATGGTACTATTTGTTTTCTTCTTATGGCTGAATAATATTCCATTGTGTATATGTACCACCTCTTCTTTATCCATTCATCTACTGATGGACACTTAGGTTGCTTCCATTTCTTGGCTATTGTAAATAGTGCTGCGATAAACATAGGGGTGCATCTGTCTTTTTCAAACTGCGCTGCTGCATTCTTAGTGTAAATTCCTAAAAGTGGAATTCCTGGGTCAAATGGTATTTCTATTTTGAACTGTTTGAGGAACCTCCGTACTGCTTTCCATAGTGGTTGAACTAATTTACATTCCCACCAGCAGTGTAGGAGGGTTCCCCTTTCTCCACATCCTCCCAACATTTGTTGTTATTTGTCTTTTGGATGTTGGCCATCTTAACTGGTGTGAGGTGATATCTCATTGTGGTTTTAATTTGCATTTCTCTGATGATTAGGGATATGGAGCATCTTTTCATATGCCTGTTGGCCATCTAAATTTCTTCTTTGGACAAGTGTCTGTTTAGATCTTCTGCCCATTTTTTAATTGGTTTATTTGCTGTGTGTTTGTTGAGGTGCGTGAGCTCTTTATGTATTTTGGATGTCAACCCTTAATCGGATATGTCATTTATGAATATATTCTCCCATACTGTAGGATGCCTTTTTGTTATATTGGTCGTGTCCTTTGCTATAAAGAAGCTTTTCAGCTTGATATAGTCCCACCTGTTTATTTTTGCTTTTGTTTCCCTTGCCCGGGGAGATATGTTCATGAAGAAGTTGCTCATGTTTATGTCCAAGAGATTTTTGCCTATGTTTTCTTCTAAGAGTTTTATGGTTTCATGACTTACATTCAGGTCTTTGATCTGTTTCAAATTTCTTTTGTGTATGGGGTTAGACAAAGATCCAGTTTCATTCTCTTACATGTACATGTAGCTGTCCAGTTTTGCCAACACCAGCTATTGAAGAGGCTGTCATTTCCCCATTGTATGTCCATGGCTCCTTTATTGTATTTTAATTGACCATATATGTTTGGGTTAATATCTGGGCTCTCTCTTCTGTTCCACTGATCTGTGGGTCTGTTCTTGTGCCAGTACCAAATTGTTGTCTTGATTTCTCTGGCTTTGTAGTACAGCTTGAAGTTGGGGAGTGAGACCCCCCACTTTATTCTTCCTTCTCAGGATTGCTATTTGGGGTCTTTGGTGTATCCATATGAATTTTGGAACTATTTGTTCCAGTTCATTGAAGAATGCTGTTGGTAATTTGATAGGGATTGCATTGACTCTGTACATTGCTTTGGGTAGGATAGCCATTTTGACTTTATTAATTCTTCCTAGCCAAGTGCATGGGAAGAGTTTCCATTTGTTAGTGCCCTCTATAGTTTCTCTTAAGAGTGTCTTGTAGTTTTCAGGATATAGGTCTTTCACTTCCTTGGTTAGGTTTATTCCTAGGTATTTTATTCTTTTTGATGCAATTGTGAATGGAATTGTTTTCCTGATTTCTCTTTCTGCTAGTTCATTATTAGTGTGAAGGAATGCAACAGATTTCTGTGTATTAATTTTGTATCCTGCAACTTTGGTGAATTTGGATATTAGTTCTAGTAGTTTTGGTGTGGAGTCTTTAGGGTTTTTAATTTACAATATCATGTCATCTGCAAATAGTGACAGTTTGACTTCTTCTTTACCAATCTGGATGCCTTGTATATCTTTGTTTTATCTGATTGCCATGGCTAGGACCTCCAGTACTATGTTGAATAACAGTGGGGAGAGTGGGCATCCCTGTCTTATTCCTAATCTTAGAGGAAAAGCTTTCAGCCTCTCGCTGTTAATTATGATATTGGCTGTGGGTGGGTTTTTCATATCTGGCCTTTATTATGTTGAGGTACTTACCCTCTGTACCCATTTTGTTGAGAGTTATTATCGTGAATGGATGTTGAATTTTGTCAAATGCTTTTTCAGCATGTAGGGAGATGATCATGTGGTTTTTGTCCTTTTGTTGATGTTGTGGATGATGTTGATGAATTTCCAAATGTTGTACCATCCTTGCATCCCTAAGATGAATCCCACTTGATAGTGGTTTATGATCCTCTTGATGTATCTTTTAATTTGGTTTGCTAATATTTTGTTGAGTATTTTTGCATCTATGTTCATCATGGATATTGGCCTGTAATTTTCTTTTTTGGTGGTGTCTTTGCCTAGTATTGGTATTAGAGTGATGCTGGCTTCATAGAATGTGTTTGGGAGTATTCCCTCCTCTTCTATTTTTTGGAAAACTTTAAGGAGAATTGGTATTATGTCTTCTCTATATGTCTGATAAAATTCAGTGGTGAATTGATCTGGCCCGGTGGTTTTGTTCTTGGGTTGTTTTTTTTATTACTGATTCAATTTCATTGCTTGTTATTGATCTGCTTAGATTTTCTGTTTCTTCCTTTGTCTGTCTTGGAAGGTTGTATTTTTCTAGAAAGTTGTCCATTTCTTCTACATTATCCAGTTTGTTAGCGTATAGATTTCCATAGTATTCTCTAGTAGGTCTTTGTATTTCTGTGGGTTCCATCGTGATTTTTCCTTTCCCATTTCTGGTTCTGTTGATGTGTATAGATTCTCTTTTTCTCTTAATAAGTCTGGCTAACGGCTTATCTATTTTGTTTATTTTCTCAAAGAACCAGCTCTTGGTTTTCATCAATTTTTTTCTATTGTTCTATTCTTCTCAATTTTATTTATTTCTTCTCTGATCTTTATTATGTCCCTACTTCTGCTGCCTTTGAGCCTCATTTGTTCTTTTTCCAGTTTCAATAGTTGTGACTTTAGACTATTCATTTGTAATTGTTCTTCCTTCTTTAAATAGGCCTGGACTACTATATACTTTCCTCTTAGAACTGCCTTCGCTGGGTCCCACAGAAGATGGGGCTTTGTGCTGTAGTTGTTATTTGTCTCCATTTATCACTTGATCTCTATTTTAATTTGGTCATTGATCTGTTGATTATTTAGGAGTATGTTGTTAAGCCTCCATGTGTTTGTGACCTTTTTGTTTTCTTTGTACAATTTAGTTCTAGTTTTATCCATTTGTGGTCTGAGAAGTTGGTTCATAGAATTTCAATCATTTTGAATTTACTGAGGCTCTTTTTGTGGTCTAGTTTGTCATCTATTCTGGAAAATGTTCCATGTACCCTTGAGAAGAATGTGTATCCTGCTGTTTTGGGTGTAGTGTTCTGTAGATGTGTGTTAGTTCCATCTGTTCTAGTGTGTTGTTCAGTGCCTCTGTGTCCTTACTTATTTTCAGTCTGGTGGATCTGTCCTTTGGAGGGAGTGGTGTGTTGAAGTCTCCTAAAACGAATGCATTGCATTCTATTTCCTCCTTTAATTCTGTTAGTAATTGTTTCTCATATGCTGGTGCTCCTGTGTTTTGTGCATATATATTTATAATGGTTATATCCTTTTATTGGACTGACCCCTTTATCATTATGTATTGTCTTTCTTTATCTCATATTACTTTCTTTGTTTTGAAGTCTATTTTGTTTGATACCAGTACTGCAACATCTGCTTTTTTCTCTCCAATGATTGCATGAAATTTCTTTTTCCATCCCTTGGCTTTTAGTTCGTGCATCTCTTTGGGTTTGAGGTTAGTCTCTTGTAAGCAGCATATAGATGGGTCTTGCTTTTTTATCCATTCTCTTACTCTGTGTCTTTTGATTGGTGCATTCAGTCCATTCACATTTAAGGTGATTATTGAAAGATATGTACTTATTGCCATTTGTAGGCTTTAGATTTTGGTTACCAAAGGTTCAAGGGTAGCTTCTTTACTATGTAACCTTCTAACTTAACTCGCTTATTAAGCTATCATAAACACAGTCTGATGGTTCTTTATTTTTTCTCGCTTCTTAATCCTCCTCCTCCATTCTTTATATGTTAGGTGTTTATTCTGTACTCTTTTGTGTTTTCTTTGATTGGTTTTGTGAATAGTTGATTTTATTTATTTTTCCTTTGTTTAGTATTTGTTTGCTCTGCTTTCTTTGGTGTGATTTTATTTTCTCTCGTGACATCTATTTAGCCTTAGGAGTGCTCCAATCTAGAGCAGTCCCTATAAAATATCCTGTAGAGGTGATTTGTGTGGGGCGAATTCCCTCCACTTTTGCTTGTCTGGTAATTGTTTAATCCCTCCTTCATATTTAAGTGAGAATTGTGCTGGATACAGTATTCTAGGTTCAAGGCCCTTCTGTTTCATTGCATTAAATATGTCATGCCATTCTCTTATGACCTGTAAGGTTTCTGTTGAGAAGTCTGATGATATCCTGATGGGTTTTCCTTTGTGGGTGACCTTTGGCTGCCTTTAATACTGTGTCCTTGTCTTTGATCTATTCCATTTTAATTATTATATGTCTTGGTTTTGTCCTCTTTGGGTCCCTTGTGTTGGGAGATTGTGGGCTTCCATGGTCTGAGAGACTATTTCCTCCCCCAGTTTTGGGAAGTTTTCAGCAATTATTTCTTCAAAGACACTTTCTGTCCCTTTTTCTCCCTCTTCTTCTTCTGGTACCCCTATAATGCGAATATTGTTCCATTTGGATTGGTCACACAGTTCTCTTACTATTCTTTCATTCCTGGAGATACTTTTATCCCTCTCGCCTCAGCTTCTCTGTATTCCTGTTTTCTGATTTCTATTCCATTACCCGTCACTTGTACTTCATCCAGTCTGCTCTTAAATCCTTCCAGAGATTGTTTTATTTCTTTATTCTCCCTCCTGACTTGAACACTTACCTCTTGCATATTTCTCTGCAGGTCCATCAGCATGGTTATGACCTTTATTTTGAATTCTTTTTCAGGAAGATTTTTTATATCTATCTCCCCAGGCCCTCTGTCGTGGGTTGTCTGAGTAATTCTGGACTGGACCAAATTCTTCTGCCTTTTCATGGTAATAGAGGTAGTTGTAGGCAGGTGGCGCGTTTATCAGCTGGGAAAACAAAGTCTCTTCCTTGTTGCTGGTCGCCTTCCCCTTCTCCGCTGCCTGTATCAGTTACCCGCACACTGGGTGCCACCTCTTGGTTAATCCCCTGAGCCGTCATGTGCGGGGCAGCCCAGAGCCCTGCAGGTAGTGGCAGGTGCAATGGGTGTACTCTCCTGCGAGAACAGAGCCCCTTTGCATGTTGCCCCAGCTTCCTCTGCCTGTGCTGGGCAGTTGCGCGCTGACAGTGACTTCTGGTTCTGGCCCAGATGGCTGCATGCTCGGAGGAGACTTTTGGCAGCTGCTGTGGGTGCGGCTGCTTTCTGGCTGCTCGGCTGCTGTGGTTGGGCTGCACCGGGGGAATGAATGGCAGGCTGCTTATTGCCGTGAGGGTCTTAAGGGCTTTATTGCCACCCAGGGGGCTGGGGCGACCGAAGTTCCTCAGGATTCCCAGCCTGCTGGACTGAGTGTGCCGGGATGATTCCATCCAGCTCTGAGGCCCCTGTCCCTTTAAGACTTTCAAAAAGCACTCCCTTTTTTTTTTTTGGTCCCAGGGGAGCTGGCTGCAGGGGCCCGCTCTCAGATTTTACTTTTCTATTTACCTAATATCTAGCACACTGTGTGATGTGTGTCTGCACTCTCAGTGTGGACTACTAGAGCTGGTTGTTTAGCAGTCCTGTGCTTCCACTCCCTCCACGCTCCGACTTCTTTCCTCCGGCCAATGAGCTGGGGTTGGGGGAGCGCTCAGGTCCTGCCGGGCCGCGGCTTGTATCTTACCACCTTTGTGAGATGCTGGATTCTCGCAGATGTGTATGTAGCCTGGCTGTTGTACTGTATCCTCTGGTCTCTCTTTTAGGAATACTTGTATTTGTTGTTTTTAAAAATATATATGGTTTTGGGAGGAGATTTTCGCTGCCCTACTCATGCTGCCATCTTGGCTCCTCCTCTAATCTTTTTTTTAAAAATCAAAAGAAAAACTTCTTAGGGCTTATGAAATATTGAAGTTACAGCTTTTCATATACATTGTTCTATGAACACTTGTTTTATTAGCAGAATAGCACATTTATACAAATAGAAAATTTTACAACTTTTACAAACTGTGGAAAAGTTTTTATAAAGTTATACTAATACAAAATTTACACCATCTTTCAAGATAGAACACTTCATCTTCTTCAGTTTCCTTTTCCTCTTCTTTAAAGTGAGGTTAGCCTTATAGTGTTGTTGTCAAATAAAAGGTAATAATAGTGTAAGGCGGTTTTTCAGACAGTAAATACTACATTAGTAAGTGATTGTGTTGCTGAGAACTTAATTTACTTTGAAAGATCCTAGAGATACATGAATCTCTAAGATTGTGTTTAATTTGGGGCTCTTTGGGCTTTTTGGTTGGAAATGGCTTTTAAATCTACTTTTTGTGGGATAATTTGTTTTATTGTATATCTGCTTAGGAGCTTTTTACAGGATTCTCTGGGAATTAATTATTCATTGAATTCATAAGATCCAAGTTCATATCTGTATTATCAATAAAGGAACAAAGTCAAGAAAGGTATCCCAGTTTTTATAAGTTATAAATGCCTAAGGAATAATAAGTGAATGGACATGATAGATCATTATTTAACCAGAAAAGCTTTTTCTCTCTTTGTATTTCAGTATTTTTTCATTTGCAGTTCAAGTTTTAAACTATTTCCAAGTTGCTATGTTTTCCTACTTTTTAAATTTAATGGCTGATATTTCTCATACTTAAAAGAAATTAAAGCCATAGGAAATTTTCCAAATATTATTTAATTAGTAAAAATCTAAGTATGTACTTTGGAATTATGTCAGAAGATATTTTTCTGCTCAGAAAATAGGAGTAGAAATGAAAAACAAAGACTGTAAGTGTTGTGCTGTATTTAAGACACAATCTGATGACCTGAGATCATTGAACATAGTCATAAACTAAGATTAACAAAAGACCAGGAGAGAGACCTGAATGGGGTGCTTTTTCTAGTGAAATTAAAATGTTGTTCCATCTTGTTCTGATAATTGACTTGCTTAGTCTCTGTGTCTCCTTCTTGTCACAGATGGGGTCATCAGACTTGCAGGTGGTGATGGCCGCCACGAGGGTCGCCTGGAGGTGTATTATGGCGGGCAGTGGGGAACTGTCTGTGATGATGGTTGGACTGAGCTGAATACATACGTGGTTTGCCGGCAGCTGGGGTTTAAGTAAGACCATTGATAGGAGACAGCTAAATATCAAATTACATTTTTAAAAGTGTCATTTTGTAATCTTTGTAATTTCTATAATACTAAAAATACATATTTTCTATCATCTTGTTACCTGTCTACCTACTTACCTATTTACCTATCTATATATGGAAGTACAAAAATAACCATTAAAAATCAATAATATTTTATGATAAAGACTAACTGTATCTTGCTATTTATCTCATTTACCTTTCCTGCCACCACCCCTCTTCTGAGTAATTGGTTAGAGCCATGGGTGACTTTTAGGCCCTTTGTGTCTGTTGAAGTAAGACTGTATGCTTTGAATGCTCAGTTTTACTCTGATGCATCACTACTATTGGATGTTGTCAGTTCTGACATCATTGTGTCTAAAATTGCAGAGAAGTCCAGTGTCAGATGCTTTGGTGTTACATTATTCTCTTTCTCAGAATGTGGTGATAATTATCACTTTTATTTGAGAAAAACAGCCTTCTTGTCATGGGATGACCTTTGAAACTCACCCTTGACATCACTCTCTTAAAAGCTGAGTATCACATGCTTTGGGTGATATATTTCATATCACACATATAATGCATTCCAGAATAAAGACTTAAGTTGGGTGAAGTAACTGCAATTGATGCCTTTGAGTTAATATTTGAATGAAGCCCATGAATGCCCCTTCTTTCTTATTTTCTGTATTTCTGTGTCATGCTTGAAGTAATGATCTCATGCTTGAAATAATTGGCAAAATTATTTCATTTCAACTCGAGAGGAACTAATTTTAAAACACTCATTAAACTTTAAAAATATATTTTCATTCAAGCTAGGTATGACTGTTTAAACATATACTTTTTAATTTATAAAAGTAATAGAAAATATTAGAGATGATTTGGAAAATAAAGAGAATAAAAGACTATGCATAATTTTCCCATTCTTATACCATCATTATTATAATTGTGTATATAATTTTATAACAGATCTTTAATAAGTAATTTTTAATTTTTAATGTTAATGTAATGTAATATCCGTGGAATGTTCCTGCCATAATTCATTTGCTATTTTAGTTTAATTTTTCCTGTTATAAATAATAATGCTATGAAGATAGAAATGCATTATTGCCCAATGTTTTGAATTTTCATGGGCAGTGCAGTTATTATAATTATCAGGTCAAGGGGCTGACATACCAGACAAATAATTATTGATATTTAATGAATGAGAATTAATAAATACCATTTCATTTCAAGTGAATCTTTGTTAAGCTAAGAATTGTGTCTTGTTTCATAGATTTAGAAAGATTTGTAAATACTACTATTTAGCATTTTCATATTTTGCCTTGTTAATGAAGGCAGTTGAGTGACACTGATTTTTTCCATATTTTATTTGTTTCACAAATACATTAATTTTTTCCTGCATATGCGGAGTATCAGATCTTTATGGTTCTAAAAATATTCTCAATAATATTTGTTAAAAGTTCTAAATTGTTCTGTTAGAAGGTAGAATAGGCCTGTGCTATATTTACTTTTAGTTTACAGAGGAATTTCTGAAAGAATAAAATACCTTTGGAATGAGAAAAACATGTGAACTCTGGGTTTCGTTGTGTAAATGAGATCCCAGAGTAAAATGTCCTGTTATCTGTTACATAGTTGATATGGATTGATAATCAGGTTGATGCATTTTGTGGAAAAATGGTATAAATTGCAAGCAATAGTAATATGGTAATTTTACTTATAGTAATACAATACTTTTCTAGCTCAGACTTGATGAGTCAGCAAAATAGAAGTCTTAGAGTGATGATTAATTAAAAAGTTTCATTGTTTTAATTCATTAGAATTTTCACTTTGTTAAATAAACTAAATAATAAGTGCATGTAAGAAAAAAATCAGGAAAATTCAAGCCAGATAGAAAGATCTCACATATTCTTAGTACAAAAAATAATGAAAACTTCCAGTAAGGCAAGTGATTGACATAAAACTTACAAGATTTGAATTGCACACACTCTTAGAACTGAAAGATACATGAAGTATCTTTTAGCTAGTGATTTCTGGAGGTTTGGATTTGAAAGAGAGACAAAATTGGGGGAAGGATGAATCAAAGTACAGATTAATTTACCAATTTTTTATTTTGAAGATCTTTCTAATTTCTATAGCAGATATGCTTATTATAATACATCAAAAAATTTTTTTGGAAGGCAAGGTTACAAATAAAGTTAATTGGGGCACAAATATAATTTATAAAAATTTAAACATCCAACTTGTGTCACTTTATGAAAAACTAAGAACATTATCATTATCCTGATTTTGATGGGCTAAAGTCCAAGTTTCATCATGGATTTGGTCTAGTGATGGAGGAATTACTGAGCTAATACACATTTTTGTATCGGAGAGGATATCAAAGACTCCAGGAGAAGCTGATGAAATCAAATGATCTCAGAGGACTCCTTGGAGGCTGAGACAAGACAGGCATTCTCACTTTCTGGTTTGTGGTATTGTTGCCATGGTCAGGAACTTGAGGTTTATCTCTGTGTGCATTCTCTCTGGTTGGTGGATTATACTGCAGACAAATGCAAGAATGAATGGGGAAGAAAAGATTAATTCTTTATAAGTTACCCATTGAATCAATCACAAATTGGTTAAGATAATCAAAATGTTGATGGAGCAAACACTGCTCTTAGAAGTGAGTCCCTAAGAGAAAGAAAATACTTATCCTCTGAGGTCATGACACTTAATTAGGTTTATTTTATGTTTGCGGTTCTTTGAAACGAGACAGCAGTTGTATGGACGATGCTTACTTTATTGCCACAGGTATGGCAGACAAGCCTCTGCAAGCCACTTTGAGGAAAGCGTGGGGCCCATATGGTTGGATGATGTCCGCTGCTCAGGCAAGGAAACCAGTGTCCTTCAGTGTTCCCGGAGACAGTGGGGGAGGCATGACTGCAGCCATCGGGAAGACGTTGGTATCAACTGCTACCCTAGTGGCGATGGGCAGAGACTCTCTTTGGGTGAGGACTGGCCATGGATCTGAAGTAGCCATGATTCAGTGGCCACTGCACCTCTATTCACTGGTTCAGAATGTGAAGCATTTCTTGTCTTTGACTTTTTATTTATTTATTTTATTAATTTTTAATTTTTAATTTTTAATTTTGTTATGATTAATCTACAATTACTTGAAGAACATTATGTTTACTAGGCTTTCCCCTACCCAAAGAACCCCCAACAAACCCCATTACAGTCACTGTCCATCAGCATAGTAAGATGTTGTAGAATCACTACCTGTCTTCTCTGTGTTGCACAGCCCTCCCCTTTCCCCCACCCCCCACATTATACATGCTAATCATAATACCCCCTTTCTTCTTCCCTGCCCTTATCCCTCCCTAGCCTCCCATTCTCCCCAGTCTCTTTCCCTTTGGTAACTGTTAGTCCATTCTTGGGTTCTGTGATTCTGCTGCTGTTTTGTT